AGATATTACTTGAAAATTTATAAACGTACTTGTATTAAATTATTATAATATTTATAAAAAAATATATAAATATTTTAAAAATGAGCAGAGAGAGAGGTATATGATATGATGTCATACATACATAAAATATGCGAGTATAACTTGCATAATATATTTTGGATAACATTCGAACACAAGCACGTTCTTTTAATACGTATATTATTAAAATAGCTATTTAAATTAAAAAAAATAATAAGGATGTACTTACTTTGTTATTAGCTTCAAGTTTGTGTTATTATTATTTTTTTGGCTTTGTTTGCTTATTACTAACAACATAACCCGATTACTGCAAGTGTTATCAGTTATGCGGCAAACACAAATTTACATACTTCAGTGCCTTTTTCTCCTCTTTTTATCAACCGATTTTCTTTTTCCTTATTTAGTACTTATTGATGAGCTTTCGGGTTTTCCATAAAAAAATTGGAAACTTTTTTTTATATAGAAAGGTAGAGGAAGGGTATCGATAAGGACTCATTCCGCCCTAGAATAACGAAAAAAATTATGTCATACGATTTGATCTTTTCTTTACATATTCTAAAAGTAGACTGTGTGCCTAATACGATAATATTATATTCATGAGAGAAAATTACAATTAATATTGTTTGTGAGACACCAAACTTTGGTCTAAGTGGAATCTTCGTTCAAAAGAAACACATTTTTAGTAATATTTCAACTTTTTTTATAAAATCAAATTCCTACGACCTTTCCAATTTTGGAGTACGCATACATTTTTTTATCATTATCTCACTTTTGGCTTTTGGCGTTTTTAATACTTATACTTAAACTGCCCATCTAGAATGAGACTATCATTTAGTTCGTACACTTCTTAATATCTATTTGAAATTTGGAATGTCATTGAGGCGATCTTATTTATTGAATTTAATTGGTGTCAATGGATGATTATTGGTACTTTGTTATTAGCATATTGACAATGAAGACTCGAAGTGAATGGATACCATTCACCTGCGGTAGCAACATCACTAAATATGCAATATAATATATGATGTAGTTTATTATTTTATTGTGTATCTAAACATTACTTGAACTTATAAAATTCCCTTTTTTGTAAATATTCTTTCGTTGAATTTTACGGTTTTAGCAAAGTTATGTGGTATGTATGTATCTATAGGTAGGTAATTCGTGTAATTTCATAAGCAACATTATGATTAGCTTGTGCTCTATGGGATTTTTTATGCTGCGACCACTATCATATATAAACATGTGACATAAAGCAAATTTAATAATACCATTCCTTTATTTAGGTTATTTATTTAATATTCACTAACAAGTTGATAGCTAGCTACACATTAACAATATTGTTAGTTCAGAATCACAGTTATTTTTTATTATAAATTCTATCAATAATTCGAAAAATATGTATACATCAATCCTGAGAAGAATCACTAAAAGTTTAAGTTTAACTATTTATTATATTTTTTACATAAAATTATAAAAAATATTTTTTTATGTTGGAATTTATAATTTGTAAAAAATCTTGAGCGATCACACTATTAATTAAATTATTTTTTTTAACTTAAAACTACTGTAAAATGTATAAGTTCTTTAAGTTGCCTATTTATAGGTTGGATCTATGTATCAATAGGCAAAGACAAAATAGTTCAGTATAGTTTTTTCTTCTGTTGTCAGCCGATAATCTTTTTTTTTTTCTTCTGTAGCTATAAAAACATTGACTGACTTTGTTGTAAATAAAAGAAGTAGTTATGGTCGAATTTCAACCACTGGATGAATGCTAGGGTCTTAACTAAAATATACTGAATAACTAAAACAGGTAAACCGACTTAAAGGAAAGTAAAACCAGGCTAAAAAGTATTTTTTCCTCTTTTATATAACCCCCCATTTTTTAAAATTTATAGGTATGGGTCTACCCTTGAGAACCTTTATAATCTATTAATTAAAACAGAATTATAAATATCGGTTCACTATTAGCAAAGATATCGCTAAAACAAACACAAAAACATAGAACCGATTTAGGTCCACACTCTTTTTAAAGAAATCGGTCAAAAAGAGATCGATCAAAAAAGTTCCTACTTCATATGTTTTGTAATAATACGAACGTCATGCTATCTCAGTAAGTTATACCTTGCTTTTAACGTAAAAAAATAGTTACTTCGAAAAATAAAACATGAAAACAAAACTTGAAAGACCTGTTGCGCATGGTACGTTACACTCAATTTAAATATAGGGCTCGAAGTCGGACCGACCTCAGTGAGACGTAATTTTATTAATTACGTCCACAACCACTTCCTATTTACGACAGTTTTATTCTTAATAATTTTCAAAATGAAATATAGATGGAGAAAATAATTTGGTATGTATACTATAATAAATTATAAAACTGTAGAAGTTGTATGTCTGTACATAGAAAAAAATGCTAAAAACCGAGTCAGGGGGATGTAAGAAGACAAATAGAACAAATTTAGATTTTCAATTTTTTTGTTTCTCTGTCTGTTTGTCTGTTTGTACGGGCTAATCTCCGAATCTATTGGACAGATTTAAATGAAATTTTGCATGGTGGTACCTTATATCCCCGGGCAACATCTTAGATACTTTTCATCCCGGAAAATTAAAGAGTTCCCATGGGATGGTTAAAAAGCTATAGTAACTTATACAGCTTAGTACACAACAACTTATGCATCTAATTTAGTAAAATTTGGCATGCTGATGCCTCCTTACATTGCCGGTCAAACAACAGGTTACTTTTCATCCCAGAAGAATGAACGGTTCCCGTGGGATAGATCTGTTTGTGCTTTTGTAGAGGCGAAACCGAGCGAAGCGAGGGTGAGCCGCTAGTATTTAATATTTTCATATTAGTTGCCGTAGGTGACCTTATGAAGTTCTTAGCCTGTGTTTCGGCGCGATACAAAAAAGTTTAAAAATCCTGCTCATTTAATTCTCAGTAACAAGCAGTCTGAGTTAAGAATTCGTTGGCATTTATATTAAGACCACATAATATCTTGACCTGGCCCCTACAAATCAATCCATTTTCGGTCGCATAATATGGGAAAAATTAAAAACCTAAATAAAATTCTTACTGTTATCGGTAAGGAGGTATGTTAATATTATAAAAAATACAGAAAATAAAATTGTGAAGAGTTATAAATTAAAATTATTATAATAGGTAAATAGATCTAACCAAAACACTCAAAAGTACAAAACTGAAGTAAATTAAACAGCAAATGACATATTAAATAACAAAATTAAGCAAAATACACTTTATAATGTTTGTAATATATTAGTATCCAATAAGCAATATTAAAAACAATAAGCTTATTGCGACATATCAGTAGGTAATTTTAATGTTTGTTTAAATAAGCTATACCTACAGCGTGGTAAGATATAGATATTGGAAAAAATTAAAATAAAAAAAAGTTTTTGTCGTGTTTTAATAACTGATGAAAATTGAGTGAGCTTTCAGTATTTTCTCTGCTCTTATTGCTACATAAAAATTAGGAAATCTTATATATTGTCATCTTCAATATTGTTATTAAATTTAATTACAACAAACATTTTTCGATGTATCGATAAATAAAATAATTTATTATTATCTATATGATGATATTCACATAAATATATTCTACACAGTTACCAATAAAGTAATTAAAACCGTGTTTTAACTATTTTATAATGATTATATAAATTATTATTTACCTAATTATTAAATGGTGTGATTTCATTCTCTGAATCACTTGAAATTAAGTTACGAAAGCATAACTTACATCTCAATGCCGAAATGATTATTATATCTGACTATATTTTAGTTAAAAAATTAACAAGGTCCGTCTTCAGCCTTGAATTTTTGAAACTTAATCGTTAAAAACCTTTTAATTTGTTAATAGCTTAGTAAAAACCTTATTATAGACCTTCAAAAACCTACCAATCCATATTGATTAAACTCAAAATGTTTAAACAGGCTTTGTTCCGGTTCTAATCAGTTGTTTTTATAGATATGAAGTAGAAAAAAAGGTTTTATATGTTCATTTAAATACAAGTTGAGTAATGTATAATCTATACTCGCATGTGACCTGTCTATGAAGATAGACGTTAAACAAAAAACACACAGACGAAGATAGAACCTCCTCCTTTTGGGAAGTCGGTTAAAAAGTAAGTATATAAATGAAGCACTAGTTTGCCGCTACCTTTATAACGTAGCGATTGCTAATACGTATTTATTAAAACAATACTTTTAATTAGAGTTGAAGCCTAAAAAATATACAGTAAAAAAGTCATTCGAAGAAGTCAAGTTCAAGTTAGGTAACTCATAAACTGTGCACACATCAAAAATCCATCAATAAAATATTACGAACATTGCGCAACATTAAGTTAAAATGTGTAAAGAATATATCTTTATAAATAAGTCAATATAATTAGTAAGTAAGGTAGTTATTAAATAATGTTTTACTGTAGACCAGTTTCGAGAATTAGAAGTTGTCGGTAATAGTAGCAACTTATGTCTTATACAAATTATAACGACCAGAAGAGCTTAAAAAACAAACATGGCTAATGGCTCAGTATACCTTAAGCCACCGCACAGACATAAGGTCTATGACATATTATTTTTTTTTAAAGTAATAAGTCACTGTATACTCTAGTAAATTAATTGTAATATAGTGTTTAGTTATTTAAATCAGTTAAAATTGAAAAGATTTTCATTTTTTAAATTTAAAAGGCCTAATAAATGTGAGACCGCCGTCAAGACGGCATATTTCGATGAGAAATTATTTAATTAGGTGTAAACAATTTGTTTTTGTAATCTTCATGAAATAGACTATTTTCAAGACTAAACAAGCAAACAATTGAAGACTTTATAAACAAACCTCGGAATAAGATTACCTACATTAGTAATATTGCATTACGCAAGAATAACGTGAGAAAGGTCGTGAGTGAAATGATTTAAAATTTATTAAGTGATAACAAAATCAAAATATATATTCGTTTTGAAAATGACGACAGAAATCCGAAAATCCGTTAGTCGGACTAGAATCGTGTTATCGCAGGTTGGTATTTGATTTTTTTAATTTTTTCTATCTTGATATTTTCAACTCACACAAGTTTTTTTTTAAATATAACATAGATAAGAAAATTTATTAAATAACAATAAATACCTCATACTAAATAATGGTAGACCGTAGATATTTTGTTCAAGAAAAATATTGAGACTAATTAATATATTATACGAGTACCAAAGCTTGATGGTTATTAGTTATTACACACTGTATACTTGTGTTGTGTATGACTCATATCAAAATATTTAAAATTATATATCTACTAGGTACTATGTTATATGCACAAGCGCATGAGATAACAATTTTATGTAAGTTCGAATTCCGCTGTATTAAAACAAACAAAATACAGCTCGTTTTTCGATTTCAACTCAATAATATATCGTCATCATAAACGATAAATGTAGAATTTAAGGAAAATAATAGCTATAAAATAAAGACATAATAATCATCAAAAAAATCTTCATTTTCCACAGTGAGATCGAAAAGGTAGAATTTATACACTAAATTGAACATTACATAGAACAATATTTTGTAAAGATAAGCTACGTTAAAGAATAATGTCTAATTTTATTCACTTGTTCTAATATATTTTTATACACGACATATATCGGAGTTATAACGTCAATGATAATAATAAACAATATTTAACAATTCGATTGTACACATCTCTTTTATCAAATAATAAAATTGTATGACTTATAAAATAAATGCGCTTGAAATTTTCTGATAGATGAGTTTCAATAAATGATTACTATATTTCGATATATTTGATAAAATATATAATTAGTGAAAACCACCAAGAAAATTGAAATTGTACAAAAAATCTTAATTTAAATTATGATTTATGATCTTTTTACTTTACAAGATAAGATTTCGTGCGACGTGCGAAATATGTACCTATAGGATTCAGCAAAATATACGCAAGAAAAATCGTAGAGTTACTTAGATATTATGACAATTAATTAAACTTAAAATACTATACTAAAATGCGTACATTCATAAATACAAAAGACAAAAGTCCAAATAAAAATTACTACAGTGTACTAACATGACGTAGGAAATAACAATATTTTTACCCATAATAAAATCTATAGGTAAAAGCTACAGTTATGGAGTGTAAAAAATAACCCATTAAATTTTTGAATACTCACTATTATTAAGATTGAACTTTAAAAAAAATATTCACGCCAATGTGCATCCAATTTTACTCTAGGCTGTAAAACTGTTAAAATACGTTAATTATTTATATACACACCGAAAATAACATTAGTGTGTTTCAAGCCTTAAATCGGAAATCCAGAATGGTCACTAAGCTTGTTTAAAATAAAACATCCTACGTTCTGAATTTTATGTTTTTTTTTTAAATATACTGAAATAAATATGGTAATATGGCCAATGGAGCAAAATGTAAAAAAAATATACACACATAAATAAAAAAGTTAGGTAGGTATATATATTAACTTATTTTTTTCTTCAACATCGCAATATTACATGCGTTTCACTAAGAGTAAGCTCCGCTAGCAACAGTTTTCGGATGTATTGAAATTGTTTTGATTTTTCAATCTTGCTTAGTTGTTAATCATTAAACGAACCTCTACAACCTCTAATTATTCTAATCTATAGGAAGTAACTTGATAATAAAACAATTTATTCCTCTTAAATCCAAAACATAACAAAAATATTCGTAAAATTATGAGATTTCTAAGTTTATAGCTTCCACCTACGCATTAGATGTCGAAAATGTCGTTCTATAAAATTTCCATTAACAATGTCTGTGACCAAGTGTCTGTTTCTTATAAATTAACGAACGCATTCATTCATCAATCACTTTAATAACCTTTTATAGTCTTCAGTAAAATTAAAATGAAGATAAAGAGAACTACGGCTTTTTTAACCGACTTCCAGACTTTTTTAACAGGAGGAGGTTCTCAATTCGTCGGAATCTTTTTTTTATGTATGTTCACCGATTACTCGAAGACGTCTGAACCGATTTGGATTTTTTTTATGTTTTAAAGGGTATACTTTCTAGATGGTCCCATATAAATTTTATCGACATCGGTCGAGCAGTTTCAAAGAAAATTAACAATATTTTTTTTAATAAATTGTTTAAATCGAATATGTTATTAAAAAACTTTCTTCTTACAAATTACCTGCTTATTACGTCTATACTAAAAATGGAAAAATATATATTTAAAAAAAAACATAAAAACCGACTTCCAGGCACTAGAATGTAAAAAATAACTAAACGGGGGTTTTCATTTAGAATAGGTACAATACATGCATAAAGTTTTTATAAATTATAAACATTATAAATAAATCGCCACGAAAATTAATAATTAAAAAACATTAATAATAATAATAGTTTATCTAATAACGTTCACTTAAAAAAATATTAAAACTTATAAAAGAAGTTAATATTTAACAAATTTAAGATGAAAGTGACTCCTCCTAATCGTCACAAACACTTTTTTTCTCTGTTGTTACAATAAATAACTTTTTTCTGTCTAAAGCGTATTATTGTCTTTTTGTTTGTTATTAATTGTCCTTAACCTGTATTAGATTCTCCTAAGCGAGGTTTCTTGTAAAAATATGTGACAGAATTCGAGCTGGCGGCATTTTTGAGAGTTCGATAAACCTGTTTAATATAATTTAATAAATTTTCAAAAAAGACCAAATAAGATATGAGAGTATAATTGGCAAAAAACTTCCATTTTAACCGACTTCCAAAAAGGAGGAGGTTCTCCAGCTGGTGCAAAGCAAATCTAATATAGTTCGATACGTAAAATACACCACAAATTGATGTTATAATATTTTAACTATAATTAGAGTTCATACCTAATCATATTTACGTATTAGATATTCATATCTTAAAATATTGGCGGCTGGCACCGACTTCGAAAATATCTGATTAGGTATCTATTCTAAATGAAAACCTCCGTTTAGTTATTTTTTACATTTTAGTGCCTGGAAGTTGTTTTTTTTTAAGTTTTTATTGTCTTATCTCAAATCATTTCCTGCATCATGAGAATTTACAAATAACATCGGCTATTTACGTTAGTTTACGATTATATTAAATGTTTATGATGAACCAATAAATACCTGTTTTATAATATGAGGAATAACCATAGCCCATACTAATCATTATAAAGACCTTTGAAGACTTGGCGACCTTTTACTTCGATGTAACTTACTTGTATTTAGATGTCGTCAAGTAATCTTTGAGAAATAAGTAAATTACATAACTTAAAGCTGTTAGTTCTGTGGTATAAGCCTTTGTTAAAAAGATTGAGATAATACTTCAGTTAGAAATCTGAGGTAAAAATCTAAACAGCTTATAAAATTATTTTTCGTATAGAAATCGTATCTTAAGCAAAAATATAGGTAGGTACTCGTATACAAGTATAGTCGTAGCAATAAGTAGACATATGTAAATAAAAGGTTTTTTTTTCAGGTTATAGCATGCCTTGCTCTGAACGTCCTTTTAATTGGTCTTGGGATGTCTATAAGTTTCGTTACGATGGTCATCCCTGATGTATTGGATGCTAAAGAAGGGTTGTCTCTTAACAAAAAGCAAGCATCTTGGTTTGGTAAGTTCATTTTTTTATCTATTTCATATTAATTAGTGATGGTATTTTTAAATAAAACTATCTTTTCGGATTATTTCGCGGATTTATTTTGATTTTTGGTTCCCGACGTTTCGAATGCTTTACAGCATCCATGGTCACGGGAGAGACTATATATATATATATAGTGATGGTATCATTTTATTTCTATAATGATATCAATATTAGGTCATTTTAAATTTTGCGATGCCTTTTTTGTTTATACTTTGTTAAATGTAAGTGAATTATAAATTTTCAAATATTATACCCATCTATATATAACATGAAATGAAAGGTAGGTTCAAATAAATCGACACTCGAATGATCTTCATACGAGATTTTTTTTTTGCCCATGTGTCTCGACGTTGACAGAACAGGTTACTTTTTTTGTAATTACTGTAAGAGTTAAACGAACTTGTTAAAGTATATAAAGGATAAAAAATTGTTCAGTTAATTATGAATAAATTAAATTATTAAAATAAACATTCGAATCCATTAAACAATAGGTTTATATTACGTTTATATAATCTAATAATTTTATACCGTGAGAAAACAAAGATTTATGTTATAAAAACAAATTATAGTGATAAGTGTATTGAATAAATAAGTCGTAAATGAGTAAACTTGCTATCTATGAAGGTAATTAATATTCATCAAAACATTTTCTTCATTTCTATAATACGTTTAATCTTTGGCAATCATAAAATTTCCACATAAGATGTGAAATGGTTTAATTTGGTACCTACTTGTGTGACGTTTTCTCCTTTTCGCGTTGTTTCATTCTAGCTTTATACTGATTTGATATATCCCACGAAATAATACGGAATAGATCTGCCAGGTTTAAAAGTATCATAAATTTCACTCTCCTGTCCACGTAGGTATATTCATATAGAATTTATTATTATTATATTTTTTAATCCCTCCACGAACGCGGACACGTCGGCGCGGCGTAACAGTTACCAATAGGTTTTTTAGAAATTTCTTAGAAATTTACCTGGAGGTGTTAACTATCGTACATAAATAGTGATGCCTTTATATTAATGTACCTCCATATATTTATTCACATCCTCAAATATTCTAGTAGTTTACCATATAACTACTCGTATACATTTTAAAAAGTACAGGCAGTCATTGTGCAACTTATCAAATATGAAATTATCACATCACAATTTACATATTATATCATGAATGCGATGTTTATACTCAAGTATAATATTTTTAACATTCGATAGGCGCTACGGTTCATTCATGATTTAAATTTATTAGTTCAATTATTTTGTTACACAAAAATCTTTTCTATGCTTCATTTTGATGTCTGAATTTGATGTATGAAAGTTATTTTTTCATTATATTTAGATTATTAGGTATTTAAATATTTGAAAGTTAGATAACACCTTTATCAATGTTGTAAATATAAATAACCTAAGGGAACTTTAGCTAGCAGAAACTAATCAGATAAGTTGTCAAACACAGGATTGGATGAATATGACGCCCTCTCGATTTGCTATTTTTTGATGTTTTTGTATATTGGCTGTGATACATTCAATTAATGGAAAATAATAGGTTTCTAAAAACATTACAATTTGGTAAAAAAAACTTAATGCAGGGTTTCTTGTCAATCCCATCGGATGTGAAGCAGTCTTTTGCCTTTTCGATAAAAAAAAATATTAAATATATACAAACGTGTTAACCAAACAGGCTGTTTTTTATATAAAATGTGCACGCATATTAATAGATTTTGATTGATGTGGTCTGTTGTGTCATTGTTATGTTGTGTCAAAATCACAAAGAACTTAATCTATACATATAATAAAATTGTAACTAAGTCGAATCTGTACATTAAATATTTTTTGGAAAATCTTATTGAAATAGATATTATTATCGATACAGAGTCCGAATCTATAGTTTTTAGAATTTTTGTCTGTCTGTCTATTACCGCATCACGAGAAAACCACTGGACAGATTTTGATGAAATTTGGTATGATGATAGCAGGCTATCCGGGTCAACAAATAGGATAGTTTTTACCACGGGAAAATATCTCATTTCTGAGAAAAAATACAAAAACTGCATAGTAAGAGTATACTAATATGTAAAACCTCAGAATTTGGTTTTTAGTCATCTGAACGCGGGCGGAGCCGCGGGCAATGCTAATAATTAATATTTTATAAGCCATTATAGAAAAAAGTAATAATAGACCAGCGGTTAATATGTCATTTCGTAGATGATATTTTATTTTCACAATCGTGAAAACATAAAATACATGGTAAGGAAAAAAGGCGTTATCGCCTAATCAATATATTTTGTGTTAATATATAATTTATATTTAATTCAACTATATAAAAAGTAAAAAGTCAAGTTGTCCAAGGGAGCTGGTAACAGTAATTAACGGTTTGAATTCAAAAAAATCCAAGTCATTACAAATAAATCCAAAATACTAAGCTTAGATGAATAAAAAGGTAAAAGTTACTATCAATGAAAAAGAAGATTAATAAAAAATCTATATATTTCGAATTCAACTCCTGCTCCGAGAGTTCTAGAAGAGCTTTTGCTACGTATTTTTCAATAAAATCGACCTTAGTTGTAATCCTTAGTTTTTTCGGTAACATAGATTAAAAATGTCTAGTCAAATCCTTGTACTGTTTTCCACTTCCTTCTACTCTCCATTTAAGTTCCGTCGAGTTCTTAAAAGATATTTTTCATTTCATTTAACTATATTTGTAGGGTTCTGTAGATACTAAAAGAATTCAGTGAGAACCTGTCTTTTCGCCCGTACATTTATCTGTATATCCATTTAAAACATAATATTTTAAATAAAACTATCTTTTCGGATTTTTTCGCGGATTTATTTTGATTTTTGGTTCCCGGCGTTTCCAATGCTTTACAGCAATTTTGGTCACGGGAGAAAATCCCTAACTAACCCAGAACTTCTAATTATAGAACCCTAAAATTTATATGGCAGTATAAATGTTCCGTTAAAATTCCAGTAGTTTTTTTACATTTTTCACCGGTCATTAGTATCAAGGTAAACTACACCAACTAACCGCGAGAATTCTGTATAGCATCATTAATTGTTTATACCTGAGCGATCGAGCTTTGCTCGGAGGTCTTTTTTGTTATATCGTTTTTTTAGATCAAAAAAACTAAAAACTTGAATAAATACAAAAAGAAACAAAAGTAGAAACTTTGTATGCCACCAGGATTCGAACCGAATGCAAAAGAAAACCACATGAAAACTTGAAAACACGCGTTTTCCCATTTGCATAAAACTAATCTAGATCGACTACTCGTCCCTGAAAACCCCCACATACCAAATTTCTGCGAAATCGTTAGAGCCGTTTCCGAGATAGCTGGTATAAATAAATAAATATAAGAAATGCTCGTTTAAATATATTAGACATCATTAATTGAATATTAATGATATTTGAAAATTAAATGACTAACAATGTTACTTCTCTTTATCAATATTAATCGAATAAATCAACTTCAATTAATCCTAAAAGGATGTTTTTTATTATAATTCGTAGATTAATCGTGGAGAAGAATAATATATAGCAAACTTGAGATTCCCATTATATTTCTTCTGTAAACTTAAGAATGAGATACTAAATAATGTAGTCTAAAGTGGCTAATATATATATATATGACTGAATTTTCAGGCCGACACGATAGTGTTATTATAATAATAATAATAAAAGATATTATAGTACACAAGTATACACACAAACATAAGTGGTCGATGGTACTTCGGCACGATCGGTGAGAGATCAGAAGTTAAACCGATGGCCTGGCTTAGCTTCCAAGATACAGGGTAGCATCGCCGACTTCCCAACTCCGGGCTGCTACTAGAACTTCTTAACAGAAAAACTATACGTGACCCGATATAAGACTCGAACCCAGTACCTCCGGATATGCAGTCGGATATACGAGTACTAGCCACTAGATCAACGAAGCAGACGTAGATTTTTATGTACATACTAGCGGACCCAACAGACGTTGTCCTGTCTACACGTCTTTAATTTGAAAATTTCAAACTTTTTTTAATAATTTTTTTGATGAAAGTTATTATTCAAATTGTGAATCTAAACCATTCCCAGATCCCCTTAAACACACACAAAAAATTTCATCAAAATCGGTCCAGTCGTTTGAGAGAAGTTCAGTGACATACACACTCACAGAAGAATTATATATATAAAGATTATATTGAAAATTACTATAAGGGAGTTTACCTCAGAAGTATTGTGTCCTAAAAAATATTCACCCGCATATTGTTTAATTTGTATCCAAATTCCAAGCATACATATAGCCCTTACATACAAATTATGCAGATGAAATCTTATAAATAAATATAGTACATATTGTTATCATACTGATAACAGACTCGCTCTACTATCAGAGAAAGACCACCAGAGAGAAACTACAAAGTTTTTTTTTTGAAATAAATACATATTATCGCGCAATGGAGAGTGTGTAACGTCATTACATCCAAAATAATAATTAAAAAGACATGTCTGAAGTATGCTTTATACATCCTAAGGAGGCATCAAAATTACTAAGAGCAGTTAATCGTAAATTACCGTGTGTAAGAGTTAAAGAGGAACAAGACATTTGAAAGTACTACAAAGGTTTTGAATTTTCATATACTAGAATGTTTTTTGTTTATGCATATAAAAAGGCCGGCAGTGTGTCGAAAGATTAGTAGAATTTCAAAATTAAGTGAAGATTGAGAAGAAGTACAGAAAAGTGAAGAAAAGTGGAGTGGAGTTATAGTGATGAAAATTAGTGTTCACTGTTCAATGACAGAGTTTAACCAAAAATTATATTATGGAAAAATAAAACATAATATTACAATACAATTTCTTTATAATCGACTTGAGTAATAACTTTATCTAAAATACTTGTCATTATACGTACCTACTACAAGCCGCTGTGACTTTAGCGAAGCCCTATCTTATAACTCTTGGGTAATTTCGCCTTAAAACAAATACAGCAAGCATTGTTCTTAATTCTCATGTTTACTTATACATGGGTAAGCTTACATTCATAATATAATTAACACATTTTTCAGGTAGTATGGCTTTTCTCTGCCAACCTCTTGGCAGTGTATTCTCTGGGCCGTTGCTGGATTATTTTGGACGACGAAAAGCCCTATTCCTCGTTAACATACCACATTTGATTGCTTGGCTTCTGATGTACTTCGCCTGGGATGTGCCTTCTTTATTTCTTGCCAATGCACTTTTGGGTATCGGAACTGGCATTATGGAAGCACCATCTGTTACTTATGTAGGAGAAGTTACGTAAGTTATTTTATTATTTATTCATAATTACTCATTAGAGACTAAACCTTACATTTTTATTATTTCACTTGATGTAGGCAGATAAAAAGTTGCCTATGTCACTCTATAATTACTACGTTATTACTTATTACATAAGTGGATACATTAAATAAGGTTAAATCAAAAATTATATATTTTTATTTATAATAATAGTAGGATTTATGTCGGCGACGGAAAACCTATCTTCGAGTAACGTGTGTATTAATATAGGGACAATGTCATTTTAGCGTATTATGAATAATTGTTGTAAATATGAAATCTCATTCTTATTAGATTTATTATGTTAAAATAAGTTCTAATTAGTGTAATAAGGTTAGTTTAGAGTATTTTTGCTTATTTGAATCATATAAGACTATTTAACATTAATTTGAAAGGAATAGGTACGTAAGTAAAATGTTAGCATATAATTACGTAACTTGAAAATGAGATTTTTTGTTTCTTGCAATAGCATAATAGTTTATGTTTTAAATAATAGATTTTATTATAAAACTTATAATAAAACAAGAATTAGGTCGATAGGACTATCCGTTCAAAAGTTATAAGGGAAAATGTATAGTAAAAATGTAGCAACCTAGAAATTTAGATATTTTTGTTTTAAGACTTTTTTAATTAATTATTATATATTGAATATTATGTTTTAATATTGTATAATAGTATGTAAGGCATGTAAATAAATAAATATGTGTAAGGTGTTTTACTGAAAACATAAAATAAAAGGACTCTCAAGGTTTCGGTTTAGGGAAATTTTATTCGAAAAACGAGCTCAAAGTACGCGGCTCTCTGTAAGGTATTAACGGGCCAAATAAAAGGCGAGCCATTTCTCGATTCGAGTCAGTCGCAAGACAGCCACCGAAGAGGCAACAACTAAAAGGAAAAGGAAGAACCGAAACCAAGAGAGAAAAAAGGAAAAATTGTGTTTTATTTCATCGCCTCTAAGTATAGTCTCCTGTCAACGAAGAAACCCTAGTGGATCGGGACCCAAGCTACGCATTCAGGGGTGCGTGGTGGCGTACATTACCAGCGAACGGACATACTGCCGTGTACGCCAAGAACGTCTGGGAGATTGTCCCAGGTCGACCTCCGGGTACTAGACATACCCTGGTTCTGGTCGTCCGAAACAGTTGGTCCTTCGAGCCGGATCCCTGCTAGAAGAAGTTCAGAAGAAACAGAAGATTGCGTTCAAGATGCCGGTAACCAGGTCGCAGAAGGATGCCCCCTCACGTCCCGGGTCCCGTCCTTCAGATAGGGACGCGACAGATGGAACGTCGGGATCAGAAGGGGTCACGTCAGCGTCGGCGTCATCGGGAACTGCAACTACATCGAACACTTCTTCGGGTACCACGACCACGGAGGGCACCACAGTGACGGAGACTACGGTTACGACTGCAACTACGGCGGCGTCTATGGAAGGCAACAAAGAAGATGCTGCACAGAGGATGACCAGGAAGAGCCAAGAAGATGTACCTGGAAAGGATGTTCAAGGCTCCTCCAAGACCCTGAAACCGATGGGGGTCAGTCGTCGCGCCAGGTCCACGAAGACCACGAGTTCCTCGGCCAGAAGACGCGAGCTAGAAGCAAAGGAAGAGTTGGCACGCCTGGAGTTGAAGCAAGCACAGGCTGAAACTAAGCTAGCCCGTGTCAGATTGGAGATGGCACAGTGTGAAGAAGAGGACTCCGTGGATGAAGACCTGGAAGACAGAACAGCACAGGTGCAGAACTGGATCGAGACGTCTGTGCTGGAGGATGGCAACAAAGTTCAACCAGAGATGCGAGGTCCACACCCCTTGGAAGAGCCACAGAAGATGAAGCCTGAAGAGAACTCCTCAACGAGAGGAGCTACGATTGAAATTCAAGCACTGACGGCAGCATTGAAGGAAGCTCTTACCACGCGAGGACCAGCAGGACAGCCAACCTACATTCACGAGTTACCCTACTTCGACGGCAACAGCAGCGAGTGGATGGCCTTCAAGGTTGTCTATGAAGATACAGCACCGATGTTCAACAACGTCCAGAATATGGCTCGGCTAAGAAGAGCACTGAAGGGCAACGCAAGAGAAGCTATCAAGAGTCTGCTGTACTCCGAAGCCTCTCCGATGGAAGTGATTCAAGCCCTCAGAAGAAGATATGGAAGACCAGATGCACTGGTGCTGGCAGAGTTGGACAAGGTCAAAACGTTGCCGAAGATTTCTGAAAACCCAAGGGACATATGCCTCTTCGCGAGCCAGATCAGCAACAGCGTAGCGGCAATAAAAGGATTGAAGAAACCACAGTACCTGCATTCACCTGAGATGGTGAAACAAATTATTGAGAAGATGCCTACGATCCTCAAGTTCCGATGGTACGACTTCATTGAAACAACAGAAGAAGGCGAGTTCTCCGACCTAACACTGGTGTCCAAGTTCCTGAACAGAGAAGCAGACAAGTGTGGAGCCTATGCATCAACAGAAGAGAAGAGCGGGTTCAGACGGACTCATCGACAAGCAACGCATTCAACTAAGGAAAAGGACTTCAAAGAAAAGGTTTCAAGATCAGAGAAGACTTGCCCCATGTGTGAGGGTGAACACTTCCTCGTCGGGTGTCAGAAGTTCCTGAAGGCGTCTGTGCAAGATCGATGGGCAATAGTGAAGAAAAGCCGCGTTTGCTTCAAGTGTTTACAAGGGACACATCGGAAGGAGAGCTGCAAGAAGCCGTCGTGCAAGGAATGCAAGAGGTGGCATCATCATCTGCTGCACGTCGAGACAGAGAAAAGTTCCTCGGAAGAACAGAAGAACAAACCACAAGAAGTGGCGAGCATCATGGCATCGGTGAATGCGGTCAACAACGCAAGGGCATACCTGAAGATAATTCCGATAGAAATCTTCGGGTCAAAAGGATCAAAGAAGATATTGGCCCTCATGGATGAAGGGTCAACAGTGTCGCTGCTAGACCAGAAGGTAGCAGAAGAAATCGGCGCTCAAGGAAGAAAGGAGGAACTGGTCATCGAGACTGTTGGAGGCAGGCTGATAAGGAAGGAAGACTCTCAGATGCTTGACCTTACGGTGAAGGGGATTCATCAGAAGACCAAGAAGACCTTGAGAAGAGTCCGGACCATCGAAGAGTTGAAGCTTGCACCGCAGTTCCTAGAAAAGAAAAGGATAGAAGAGTGTCAACACTTGAAGAAGATTGCTGACTCTCTATATTATAAGGGGGAGTCACCACAGCTGCTCATCGGTCAAGACAACTGGGAGCTAATCGTGACTCAAGAAGTAAGAAGAGGGAAACCAGGACAACCAGTCGCTTCAAGAACAGGACTTGGATGGGTGCTCCACGGGTCAGACACTGGAGGCGCGAAAGTGGTGCACTTCTTAAACACGTGTCTACATGTCAGCACGCCAGAAGAAGAGATGCATCAAGCCATCAAGGATCACTTCGCAATCGAAGCACTTGGAGTACTACCAAGAAGACCCACTACGGATTCAGAAGGAAGAGCACTCACCATCCTAGAGAAGACCTGCAGAAGACTAGAAGATGGTCGATTTGAAGCTGGACTTCTATGGAAAAATGAAGATGAACAGATGCCTGAAAGCTACACGTCTGCCAAGAACCGATTGTTCAACATTGAAAAGAAGATAGACAAAGACCCTCAGCTGAAGGCAGAATACAATAAGCAGATCCAGCATCTAATCGACAGCAAGTATGCAGAAGAAGCACCTGGTGGACAAGAAGATTCAAAGAAGACATGGTACCTCCCTCATTTCTCCGTGGTACATCCATTGAAGAAGAAAATAAGGATCGTCTTCGACGCTGCAGCCAAGTCTAAAGGGAGAAGCCTCAACGACGCTTTACTACCGGGACCAGACCTACTGCAATCGCTCTTCGGGGTATTACTGAGGTTCCGGCAAGGCCCGTTTGCAGTGGCAGCCGACATAAAGGAAATGTTCCTGCAAGTTCGCATCCGGCCAGAAGATAGAAACAGCTTGAAGTTCCTGTGGCGAGGGGATCGTCGTGACGTAGCACCGAAGGAGTACAGAATGACATCAGTCATCTTCGGCGCGACATCATCTCCTAGCACAGCGATCTACGTGAAGAACCGGAACGCGGCGGACTACAAGAAGCAGTACCCAGAGGCAGCAAAGGCAATCGAGCTGAACCATTACATGGATGACTACCTGCACAGCTTCCATTCAGAAGAGGACTTCAAGAGAATTACAGCGCAGGTGGACTTCATTCACAAAAAGGCGGGCTTCGAACTCCGAGGATGGGCGTCAAACCACTCCGACCTGCTGCAAGACGTGAAGACTGAGTCAGTTGAGAAGACAGAGGTGGACCTTGGTGAGAAGGAAGAGAAGACACTGGGACTACGCTGGTTTACAGAAAGGGACTCCATAGGCTTTAGGGCGAACCTTCGGAACACGCCAGATGAAGTGGCACAAGGACTCAAGGTACCTACGAAGAGAGAAGTCACCAGCGCCGTGATGTCGACCTTCGATCCACTAGGGCTAGCATCACCAATTCTCATCCAAGGCAAAAGGCTGCTCCAGAACATATGGCGAAGTGGCGTCGGTTGGGATGAAGAGATAGAAGAAAAGGAGTACGAGTCATGGAAGACTTACCTGGAGAAGATGAAGCTGCTCCAAGACCTTCAGATCCCGAGATGTCTGGCACCACGTCGCACCGCCGAGGGGGAGCTGCACACGTTCACGGATGCAAGCGAAATGGCGTATGCAGCTACGGTATATTGGAGAACTGAAAATCAAAATGGGACTTATGACGTCAGCTTAGTAGCAGCAAAAGTAAGAGTCGCTCCGTTGAAGCCGGTGTCAATCCCGAGACTCGAGCTGCAAGCGGCCCTCCTAGGAAGCAGATTGGCACACTCGGTCGAGGAAGAAATGGATCTGAAAATAGAAAAGAAGACGTTTTGGACAGACTCCAGTATCGTGCTATCATGGATCAAGACGGACCCGAGAACCTTCAAGACATTC